TGCTGCACCAAGAGAAAGAGATGCCAAGAGTTTATAATGCTTCGTGTCAGCTGTTTTCTAGTGGCTATGGAGTGGGTTTGGGAATTATTCCAGTAATTATTGGGGGTCCTACTGGGTCTTCAATAACTAACGCCTTGTTAGACACAAGAGCCGACACTTTCCTGATACTAGCGGACCTAGCAGATCAGTTAGGTCTAAAGGGTAAACCAAAGGACATTTTCATGAACACGCCGTTAGAAAATACCCGCAAAAGCTGTTCCAGTTTAACCTTTAGAGTAAAGTCCTTGGATGGTGCCAAAGAAATAGACGTCCAGAAGGCATACACTGTTGCGTTTGTACTTTAGAGTCCTGTCTGAAAACCAGGCGCTGGAACGCTTTCTAAATGAAGCCACTTAAAAGGAGTCAACTTTCCCATAACGAGCTGTCAAATAGTTGGTGTGCTCATTGGTTTGAATGTGCCCGAAGCACATTGGATACTGGAACAAAGACAAGGAAAGAAAGGGGACCCATACGCAGATCGTACTCCGTTAGGTTGGGTCCTTAGGGGACCGGTAGATCGCAGTCACAACGGTGGTATGCGTATGTGTGCAAAACACGGACTGAAGAAAATTCTGGAGGATATCTGCCGGCTTTACAATCAAGAATTCACCAAATGTCTCAAGAGACTTTTCTCAGTCAGCTGAAGACGCACGCGCAGTTATCATTGCGGAAAAGTCTGTGTGAGAAGTAGAGGGGCAGTTGTGTGTAGCATTACCGCGGAGAGACGATAAGATGCAAAGGGTGTGTAACAAACCGGTAGCACTGAGACATTTAGTTCCTCTGGGTTGAAAGTTTCAAGTTGATCAAAGCATGCGAGATAAATATTCTGCGGGTATCGGCAGATATTTGGAAACAGCCTATGCAAAAAAGGTCGAGACGGAAGCTGATGACACTGGTTTCAAGTGGTATCTACCACATCATGCTGTTCTGAATCCTAAGAGGCCGGATAAATTAAGAGTTGTATTTGATTGTGCAGCGGTTTATTCAAAGGAGTCCTTGAATAAGCACTTGCTCCGAGGACCGAACATCGTGTCCAGTCTAGTCGGAGCCCTGCTTCACTTTCGTCAGCAGCCTACTGCTGTTACTGCGGATATTAAGGATATGTTTTTACAGGTCAAAGTTCCAGAATCAGATCAGACGGCTCTCAAATTTCTATGGTAATCTAAAGGTAACCCAACTGAACTAGTTGAGGAGTATTGTATGACGGTTCATTCTTTCGGAGCGGTCTCCATTCTGTGCGAGTTTTGCTTTGCGGAAGACAGCCAATTTATACGGCCACGATTACCCTTCCTCAATAACCGATGCAGTTCAAAGCGGTATTTATGTGTACGACTTGTTGTTGTCTGTCGATGATCAAATCAAAGCACGCAGCACAATCAGTGGCCTGACACAACTGTTTGGTCGTGCCGGGTTCAAACTAATCAAGTGGGCTAGTAACCAGCGAGAGGTTTCGATTCAGATTCCTGCTGACGAAAGGCATTTTTCGGTTAAGGAATTATCTGACGGTACGCTTCCTACGGTAAAGGCCCTCTGTCTGGCTTGGGACATGGTGGGTGATTCATTTATCTACCAGTTTGAAATGAAGGATTGCCCGGTCACACGAAGACTGCCGTTGTCGTGTTTGTCAGCTCTCTATGACCCACTGGGGTGAATTGGCCCATTGATATTACCTTTAGAGTTATGGTTTCAAGATCAGTGTAGAAAAGGAGTCCGTTGGGATGAATTGGTAGAGAGTGAAGAGCACAGATGGCGGCATTGTTGTGCCATTTTAGAAATGCTAAATAGTATTAAGTTGCCCAGATGGCATCTTTATGGAACTTCAGAGAAAGATCACGAGATGGAGCTCCATTTGTTCAGTGACGCATCGGAAAAGGGCTATGGGGCTGTTGCGTACTTTCGCTTCATCGGTAAACAGGAATCTACGAAGTGTGTGCTGGTTATGGCTAAGTCCTGAGTAGCTCCTTTGAAGTTTGTCACCATACCTCGTCTCGAGTTATCGACCGCGGTTTTGGTTACTCAGTTAGCCAGAATGATACAAAAGGAAATAAAAATATCGCTAAGACAAGTGTGTTATTGGTCGGACTCACTATCCGTCTTATATTATATTAAAAATGATAAAAGCTGCTTTTCGATATTCGTCGCTAATCACATAGCTAAGATCAAAGAAGTTTCTACCCCAGAACAGTGGCGACACGTGCCAGGGAAGGATAACCCTGCGGACTTAGCCTCACGAGGTATGTCGAATCATCATAATCCTTGAATAACGGAATCCATTTATGACATTAACCACCCGAACCCCCTATTTCAATAAAAGATATAATACAAAGAGCAACTGAAATGTATAGACTATTTCATCCAGTGGTCGGCAGCTAAGCCTTTGTCTTCCGCACCCAGCAAAGCAGCAGCAAGAGCCTTCGTCGAGGGTTAGATAGGTAGCTTCGGTTGTCTTGCAGTAGTTACAACCAAACGAGGTTCTCACTTTAATGGTGTTTTCGCACACCTCATTAAGCATCTAGGAATTCGCCGTGTCCAGACAACCGCTTACCACCCGGCAGCTAACGAGATGGTTGAGCGTTTCCATCGAAAATCGAAAAGTGTTCTGGCAGCGCAGGCAAACCCAGACTGGAAGGAGTCTCTATATGTAGTCCTCTTAGGTTGCAAATTTGCCCTCAAAGCTGATCTTCAGTCCACACAGGCAGAGTTGACTTTCGGTCGCTCTTTGCGCCTTCCAGGGGAAATGGTGGCATTGATTCCACCAACTGACTTGATTCACGGTGACTATGCATCCCGTTTAGTACATCGTATGCGCCAGTTGAATATTGAACCACCTCGCCAGCAAACACCACTAGCCTACCTTTCCCCTAGATTATCCGAAAGCTCGCATGTTTTCCTCGGGTCCGAGGTTTGCGCACCACCGCAACTTCAATACAGCAGCTCACATAAGATACTGCGACGCTTAGACAAAGCCTACGTGACAGAGCGCAACGGTAAACGTGAGGCCTTCCGCATCAACCGGCTAAAACCGGCGCACATGGAGAAAACCGTCAGTCCCGCCTATAGTTCCTCGCCCAATCTGAAACCCGCAACTCCCGTTCCAACAAGCGCTGCTCACTACAACCCGGAAGAACCCCGCAACACGCTTTCAGCAGGCACCTGATCGCGACCCTGACCATCGGATCACTAGTCGCGGGGGAGTCCTTAACCTGCCTGTAGATTTTGCTTTATGGGAAGTATTTTACATTCTTCCGGCGCACAGCAACAATTAGACTGCGACATGTACACTTTTTCTTTCATCTATTTGTTCATACGTTCATGCACGGCCAACAAGTCTCTTGTCATCCTTCATTTATTTTACACCATACTTTTCTCTAGTTCTCTAGTTTTTCTCTATGCATGTAAATAAGGAAGCCAGCCGAATAATTGTATCAGTGACCTTTTACGAACACCCCTGGTCAGTTTCTTACTGGTTAGTATCCAACTTCGACCGTCGTTCTATTTTTGTCATTGAAGGCAAATCAAAACGAGGCAAGTCGCGAAACGCCAACGGACTTGCGGGCTCTTTTGCCTGGTATTTTTATTTCCCAAAATTGTTCTTTTGGACCAGAATCCCGCACCACGTCCACGGGAATTATTTTGAAGGTTTTCAGCAGTAAATGATATGTAGGTCACTGAAGGACATGGAAGATGTTGTAACCGAAGAGATAACTGCAACCTTCAACCTGCGGTGCTGGGAAAACTTTCGATCATTTTATAGTTATTCATCGGTTTTCTACCCATTTTCGCTAGATTATTGTAACATTTCATGTAAGGTTTCTTGTATTGCTTAGTATTATTCGCCTATTTTCGGCTTCCTTGCATGCTAC